TGCAGCGATGTCTGCAAGAACGTGCGTGTGGGAATATTTGTACCATCACGGTGCCGGATGCCGGGATCAACTCAGACTACAAAATTGCTAACTAAGCCGTTGGCATATATTTTATCAGTCTGGGAGAAAGAGGGAAAGATTTCACGTGCCCATGTAATCTTTGCTTCTCGGTGAGTGAGACTCCGAAAGAGGACGCTTCCCCATAATTGAGTGAGTAACACGCGAACGAACAAGCATCTTCAAGGACGTCTCCCCCGAAAGCAAAGAGAATAATAATGTTCATATACAATTTTCCTGCATGGTAGCTAGGCGAGAAATAGATTCTTTCACTGAACATATTTTGTCTACGGCATCTCTAATGAACAACGGAAGAATGTCCTCAATGTTTCGCCAGTATAAAGGGAAGGCCTTTGACGACCAACGGCCTTGTTTCAGAACAATCCAAGGTTCAACCCCCGAGAGCAGAAGATCAGTTGTTCCGCCGATTCGCAAACTATGGCCGTATAAGGCACCCATACCCGCATTTTCCCAAATGGCATTGCAGCGAGCTATAACATGTCGTGAGTAAGGGGAGCCCATCCCGTAGCGTCACGCATGCGAATAGCGGTGCATCGGCAGGAAATTCACGCTGACGACTAGTGATGTTCCATCGCAACTACGGCATTGACAGCATCATAGGTTTCTGTCAGAAACAACCAATCACCTGCGGCGAGCTTAGTCTTTGTCCACGGGAGTTTGTACCGTAAGAATTTGTGGCCATTGGTGGCCGTGCCTCGTTTCATTTCGCATCCCCGGGTAACGTGGTGAGTTGGAGTAAATGATGTGATCGAGGCAATTAAAAGTTCTCCAAGTCTCGCGCAACCTCTCCATGCAGAAGTGGCAGCTGCCCAAATGGCGGAACCAAAGGTACTGTATTATTTCAATCAATTCGACCATCACGCGTCACGCACCCCCTAGTCGGTGTCGAACTTTGGTACCGTGTCCCACGTCACGCCCTCGGTGGTCCAATGAACAATCTGTCACGCAGGGTGCAAAATCATGCAAAATCGCCTGCGCGGCACGTTAAATCGAAAATTTTCGTTTCTGTGGTCGGAAACAATACAATATTGGATAGATCGAGATAGTGGTGAAGAATAAGCATGTGGTTGAATGATACAGGATCACGAGGGGGGTCGGCGAGATGATTCTGGTGCTAGCTTCGACACACCCTTCTTTGTCCGAAGGAGTATATCTCCGCCATACCAAGGTGCTCCATTGACCTGATGCCAAAGCTGCAAGCCTGATAGCCAGGATGAAACAGTACCTGCGGAGACATGCCCTGCACCGGAGTTGGAAATAATTATTGACAAGAGAGCTTCGCTCGCCGGCATCCGCGAACCCTCTGGGATATTATAATGGTCACAAAATTGGTTCAACCGTAGCAAACCGGCACCCTAATTGCCATGGGTGTCGGGTTCCACAGACGCGAGCACAACATCCCGCCATTTTTGAATTACATCTGGGGGAAAACATGCAGACAACGAAGACAAGGAATATGAGGAGAAAGGAGTGCGCCATTCGGAAATTCGGTCACGAGCGAGGACATGGGGGGGAAGAGGGGAAGGAGCAATCATGTTTTCGGGATTTTTCGATTTTCTAGGTCCATGGTGGCCACGTCCAGGCTGCGACTGGGAGAAGGGGACCGGGTTCTGCTAACCTGAATATGCCTCGCTGGCTCATCAGCAAAAGTGGGAATCCTCGCTATTCCCAGACGGTCTCGGCATACACGTGCCAAGCTTGATGGTCTCTGCAAGGGGATGCAAGGCTGCAAAAGGGAATACAATGTGAGTGCCAAGCATTCATTACATCCAGAAAGCTACAGCGAGCATTTGTAGTACTGTCTGGGTGTCGCCAACTGTGCATAGTGGTCAACAAGGTTTTGCTCGTATGGCACAGACATCAAATACCAGCCTCATTCCTGCAGAGATTATCACTGCATTCAACGGCCGGCTACATGTAGCACAGCCTCGCCGGATATAGCCAGGCATGTGTGGCTAGCCGGCTTAGTCAGGTTCGGCTAGCCCTGGCGAGCCACGCCACACATGGATCCACACACCTCCGCCAAGATCCACATCCCTCTGCTCAACGCACCTTGCCTTCATGTGTCTAGACTCGTCTATTTCATGTAGCCGACCCCTAGCAACATCCTGCATAGCCCCTGTATCCTAAATTATCCTAAATATTCCAAATTTTTGCCGACTTAATGGTGTGCATTGTGATCGGGAGAAAAGATTTGTATTCAGCAGATAGATTTGTAAGTACAGTAATGTGTGCTGGGAGGATGCAGGACAAGAGGGCACAGGCCTAAGTGGGCAAAGAACAAAGCTAGACGAAGGGGTGTGGCAAAGGTCGAGATGGCCCTGGCTATATAAATAGCCAGACCTACACTATAGATAGCCACAGCATGCAGAAGCTACACGTGGCCCCGGCGATCAACCGGCTGAATGCAGTGTATACAAGCTTTAGGACCCTGCCTTCGGCACGGACGCTCGCTGCGCTCGGTCCGTTCCTACGGCGGGTCCACAGCTTGTTGGGGCTTCGCCCCAAACCCTGTGGATTCTCAGTTCCGCGCAGACACGGCGGATTCCGAGTTCGGGGGTTCGCCTGCGCACGGCGAATTCCGAGCCGTGGGACCCGGCGGCAACATCTCGACAGCCGGCAGCAACATCTCGACAACATCACGTGAATTTCCACATGACTTTCTGTCAAAGGCTGTGCTCGTCGTGCTTTCATGTATAGGATCTCACATTCCACAACTCGGTATTGCCCCACCTAATAGTTTTGCGTCATACATAGACCTTGTAAGGTAGATTATTTTATGCAAGTTTTCGCACCCCATACTTAACTTTGCCGTCTCGCGCTGATTGGCAAAGTTCCACATAGTTTGTGAGCAGGTGGTCATCTTGCATGGGATCACTCAGACAGCGAGAGACAGCAAGTTAACTCCTAATTTCTAAATTTCTGTCAAGTTCATTTCACACCCATCTCCGACGGAATCGGACGATTCTTTCGGAATCTATCACCATCAACATTCTCCATGTTGGTCCGTGCGCAAACTATATGAGCTGACATTAATCATGATTCGCTGGCATTCTTTCCTTCCACCCTCATGTCCTGTCTCCTGCTTTTTCCATCGATGAGCCTCTTCCCTGTCAACAACACTTCAACAGCCCTCTTTCTTGCTACAACCACTCATCATGCTTCCTCCTCATCTTCAAGCCTGATGGCCTGCACTTCAAGCCTAGTCAAGATTCTCCCTCAATAGACAAGATTCTCTTCAAGACTCAAGGGCCTGCAAAACTGCAAGCTTGGGTATCAAGGTAATTAAATTGATTGTCTTCCATTCCTGCCTCAAGACCCTCAAGAGTCCAGCTCAACTAAATTGTAGTCGGTCGTTGTAGCTAGAAAAAATGTGTCGTTCATCACAATTCAAATTTTATTCCTGGCAAGTTTTTTTTGTGCGATTACAATTGAGCTGGATAGCTTGCAGATGATTAGAAAGCTGATGAGTAACCATCAAGTATTTCATGACTCTGCCGCTTCTTGAACACTGTGTGATGCTATATATGGCTGCCCAAAAGCGAAACACCAGTTGAAGCTTGACCAAGCTTTTTGATGGCTCTGCAATACTCGAGTTCCATTATAAACACCTTTGCCGCACCAGAAACCAGATGTACCTTTACAAGGATTTTGTCAGAATATGTACTCTGCAAGGCCATACCTGATCATATATTGATCTCACGGTTTTGCTGATGCTCCAGCCAGCGAGTTAGTCTGTGGATTCAACCAGGAAAGGACGAAGCTCATCAGAGAGCTCTTGCATAGGCAAGTGGTCGTCCCGGGACCTCCAAACGCCGCGAGAGAAGGGGTCGGCGAGATTCATAGCAGATGAGACATAGACCGGTGTAATGGTTAAATTGTTGGGCATCAAAATGGATGAAATTCGACGAATCGAATCATTGCGGGATTGATTCCGAGAACGTCCTTTTTGTAAGCTCCGATGACAGATGTGTTGTCGCAGTGGACCAGTAGGTCAGCATCCTGGATGCCTTGGGATGCAATCCAAGTAGCTGCGAGTTCAACGATCAAAGATTCGAACCATCCGATGTCACGGCCATCAACCTTCCAACCTACAAGCGAGGCAAGAACATTTTGTTAGTAAAGTGTCTGTCAAGATAAACTGTTTTCAATCCGGAATAAGCTCCCACGCTGCCCATTTTCCCGCGACGAGGCGACTAATGCCCCAATCCGTTGAAGCATCGACCAATACATCAAGGTCCATTTTGGCGCGCGGATGGAGAGAGCGTGAGAAGGCAGGCATGTCGAGAATGTCAAGCCACCATCGGAGATCATTTTTAACCGCACTCGAGACATGGTGTGCTACGAACCGATTTCGGAAACCGGCCATCAAATGTATCAGGGAAGGAAGGAAAGAGCGGCCGTCACGGTAGGCGAAACAGGTGTGTTGGAGGGTACCATGCAGCGATTGAACATCTGGAAGTTTCACCTTGGGTAAAGATAGGAAGCGTGTGATTTTTGCGCGATACTTGAGGCGTTTTTTTTCTGACAGGAAAACGCGCTTGCTTGGAAGGTGCCAAATAAATCCCCCATACTCGGTTGTATCTGTGAAATCGTGCCCCTTGTCTACCAAATTGTTCCATATGATGCCGAGTGGTTCGGAAATGGCTAGGATGTCGGCAAGAGAAAATGAGAATGAATAAAGGACAGATCCGTCTGATAGGGTCTTGCATGAGTATGGGAATCGTAGGAAGACATAATCATAATCATCGACCCATTTGGCATTATCCGGATGCCCGCGAGCTGCAAGAATGTCAGGAAAGGCATCGGCAATTGTGCCCTGAATATTGCCGGAAGTTCTTTTCATTTTATGCCATCCGGTGAGGATTACGGGGTGTACAACAAATACCTTAGGTGTCGGAGTTCGCAAGTAGGAGAAATGTGACCTCGTGGGAGCACGGATTCTCGCTCCGCCATGATAATGAATGTAGGATGGATATTTCAGGGAGAGGCGGTGGTTCGAATCCACCCGAGGACACTAGTCCGAAGAATTTTTTTTTTCATCATTCGTTGCAGCTTTGCCTCATTCGCTGAAACTCGCAGGTATATTGAAGCTTGCGGGTCCAACAAACAGTCCTCTTGGATCACGGTAGCTCACTCTTACGCAATTCAAGGGAGGTCAACGACGATTAAGGCTAATAGGGTGATATGCTTGACGGATTTTTCCAAACATGTGAAAGGAAGCAGAATAATCCTTGACTCTGCGTTCATCGGTTAGGTTAGCCTAAAGACGATGAGAAACCTAGAAACTGGCTTGGCGGAACGGGCCAGCTGCTCCGGGACCGGCGTCCGTAAAATAATACACGACCTCCCATTCGGCCGCCTGAGATGTCGAAAGTGTCAGCCGAGGAAAAGGGCATTAAACCTTGAGTTTTGTCATCTTTTGGACTACCCCACAAGACCCCACACCCGATGCGAACAGGCAGCACGCGATATTCACGCGCTTGCGGGGCATGGGTCCCGAAAACGTGACTTTCGCTGCCTTTCGTCAACTTCTTGGAGGACGTCGCGCGACCGGGAGGCAATCATTTAGTGAGCGTAAATGTGCCAAATTTTTGCTTCTAACCTCTGTGGGGGTCAGAACATGACATATCACCAGGCCAGAGACGCTGTCCAACTGTCCGACGAAATGAAAGTATAGCGAATGGAATTCCCGTGTCCTGGATTCTGTCGGCCGCCACAAGGTCACCACAAATCCGAGTTGTGGGCCAGCGCTCCTGCTCAACTCACCCTATCCATGGCACACTCGCGCCAGTGGGCGCACTGAAGAAAGTGGCAGCGCAGAGAAAGGGGAATGCCGTTGAACGAATGTCATATACGCATACAATACCAAGCACCCTATGTGTAGGATAAGACGGACATGGTCGTCGCCTCCCCTTTGGCAATGTGGCTGATATAGACAACGCCGAGAGCATCATCCAAAGCAATCACCGCTGTATAGAAGTTTACATCCACAAACGAGGTGCCGAGACGATGGAAGGTGGTATGGGGTGTGGGCTCCGCCGCATAACGCACAAGACCCAAACCAATTTTAGGCTTCAGGGAACCTGGGGATCGGGTTTGATAGTCGATGTCGATGATCGCAGCATAGCGCCCCGATATTCCGGCGACGAGGTGCGTAATTTCGAAAGGATGTTCGTAGAACGATAATTCCCCGAATTGTAGGCGAGACCCGACTGTTTCCGCTGGCCAGAAGTGGACGCTACGCAGGTGGTCTGTCGACCCTTCGGTGAGAATTTGTGAGGTTCTCCGCGTGACAGAGAAGACACCGTATGTCGGAACGATGCATTGACCGCGACAGGTGTATATGGATTTCAACTGGCGCGCTGGGATGGAGAAGGGGGTAGTTATTGGGATCCTCTCGTGGACCTGGGAGTCCGAGGGGGAGGCGGGCACACAGATAATGCTGGACTGTTCACGGCGGTCGCCGACTTGGATGTAAAAGTGACCACCGTAGAGAATGCAGACCGCATCGGATCCGAGAAGGGCCCCGAGAGGGACGTGATGCATGACACTGCCGTGTAAATCACCATATACCAGAACCGATGACAGGTCGCTCCGACTGGTGTAGATTGCTCCGATCAGTTTGTCGTCCAATGCCACACTCTTCAGGGACGGTAGAATGTTAGTTATTGCAATGAAATTCGAGTAGACTTTGGAGACAGCGAAGCCGGTCTCGCCGTAGACAATTCTGGCGACAAGGAGCCCAAGACCTGCCCTGATAAATACGATGTCATTATCGAAGCATGTCGGCAAAGCGGTGTACAATCACCTGCCTTGAGACGCCAAACCAACAAAACATTTTCCAGGAAGGTTGAAGGGAGGAGAACAGATCTCGAAAGCAGAGTCGCCATCTTCGTGCTCTATAGATCCGACGAGGGCGCCGGAGGTTGTATGCCAGCATGAGAGTCGGTCTCCCGAGTTGGTGACGACCAGATGCGTCCCAGGAATAGCATATATATCTCGGTACTCCTCGCCCAGAGCGAACGTCCGCACAGACACGGGAAATGCGAGGTCTGAGGTCCAGTTTTTCTTCAGCACGTATGCGTGGATGGCGAGCTTTTGAAGACCCTCGATGGGCAAAACCGTTATATCAACACCGACTGGACATGGCAACGGTTGCCTGTGAACAGTCACCATCCTGTCCAGTGTTTTGTACCAGAAGTCTTTGGTGGACTTTAGCGATGCAAAGAGCGAGCAAGTCTAACGTCAAAGGTCGCATGAGTGTCGAGTTTCAACAAGGATTCGTCGCTTACAGCAAGGAGATGAATTGAATCCTGAAGATCCATGAAGAAGGTAAGTTCAAGGATAACATCCAGAGGCATTGCAGCGAAGGACATTGTGGTGCAAGGCAAGATGCGGCGGCATTGATGCCGTTCGACAATCGGATCAAGGCCGAAGTGATTCGGATCTCTTCGGATATATCAGGTCGAGGAACGAAACAGAATAGAATAGCGATGGAGTTGAAATAAATCATGAAATACCGCACTTCCCAACTTTGGTACGCACTAAGATTCGCAAACAAATCCCAGGTTAGGTCATTCTGGGTTGTTCTCCTAGGCCAGACAAGTAAAGGGAATTCTGGTACTGTATTTTTCAATTCGGCGGTCACGCAATCTATAAAGCTTTGGCAAATTTGCACTGAGCGGGTGCGGACGTGGAAAGCCATCCGAGAAAGCGGTGCTTACCGCGAAGTGTTTCGGGTTGACATCACTGGAATTTGCGAGTTGAGACGACATGGCCGTTGATTTTGCTTATAGTAGTCAAACTGGAAGCAACCGAAGAGCGGAATGTCTGATTTTCCCAGAGGAAGAGGGATCGCATAAACTTTAGTATGTAAACAAGCACCTTATGCGTAGGACAATACGGAGTCATGGACATGATACAGGAGGAGTTGCGGTTCCTGAACGTTCATCGCTCGAGGGGAAAGCGGAACCGGCACAAAAATGCGGACAGATCCAATTCCAGGGACAGGGAGGTACGCCGGAATTGATATCGACGTCGATGATCAGCGATTGACTTGGAAGTGGGGGAATAGGGGCAGAGGTTTCAAGAGGGGTGGTATACATTGAAATTGTGCAGATATACATTGCGGGATGCATTAGTGGAATCGTGTGTGGTACGCGGCGATAGCGCTGCCCATAAACCCAAATAATAATAACAAAGTGGTCGTGTGAGACGAAGTTCATGGCCTGGGAGGGGAACCGGGTCAGCATGAGAGCGAGAGGGGTGAGAATAGAGAAGTACGTACGCATTCCGCGTACCACCCGACGCATTCCGAGCACTCCCAGACCCGCCCGGCGCCATCGAGAACGGCGGCTTTTTGTCCACACTCCCATATCCCCTGATAACCGCGAACGGCTCCCTCCATCCCGCCTCCAGCGCATGCATGCGGTCGTACGGGGCGCAGGCGTCGTCGTGCGCGTCCGACGGTGTGCGATTCCCGCGCATGCAGCGGAGGAGCGCCTCGCCGCCCTCGACGGCGGTGTACACGATGAGCGTGCACACGATGGTGACGCGGAGGATCCCGGTGACGGAGGCATCCGCGTAGGTCATGTACCAGGCGGACGTGGCAGGCGCCGCGGCAGGCGGCGATGCGGCGGCGTCCGCGATTCCGAGGGCGCAGAGGAGCGTAAAGAGGATGGCGAAGGACATGCACACCGTGAGGCAGAGCTCGACCGCGAGATGACCGAGGCGCTTGGCAAGACGGGGGAGCGGCGTGTGGGGTGTGGGGAATGAGGGGAAGGTGATGCGGGGCTTCGTGGGGGGCATATTGCGGGGAGAGTTTGAGGTGGGTGCAGGTGATACTTATAGGGTTGGCCGGATCAACTTGGAGGCGATCCGTCCAAGATCCGTTGACAGTGGCTTGGCTTCAGGGCAGCTCATGTGATCGATGTGTGAATGTTAGGGGCTGAGTAAATAGCTGGCTCGAGAAGGTCGGAATGCAAAGAGGACGAGACTGACGAGAAACTGCGAGTGAGAATCTGAAGAAAGCAAGAACAGCAAAAGCGAGAAAGCAACGATCAGTGGTCATGTTTGGAATCCAAGCTTTCACCAAGCTTGCACATACCGGGTATTGCCGAGCGTTCAATCCATCTCGGGATGCACCAGCACAGGTGTGATATCGGTTGGATATTGGTTCCAAGTCAATGTCGCGAGGTGTCTCTACAATTTCCAAAATTACACCCACAAAGCCGGAAGAATGGGAGGTAAGTAGGAGGGTTTTACATGTGCAAAACTCACAAAACAAAGAAAAGTTGGGTTTCAAGGTTTGTATCAAGTTTGTAGACTGGTAATTAGCCTGCCTATGATTGGCAACATTGTGGCGAGCATGTTGCCGTAGGCAGACTGGTACTGCTCGTTCGAAGCGCGGAGTTCATTTTTTTCCTTGGCCGACACGTTCGTTTGGCCTGGTTCATTCATCATTGTGTGTATAAGAAATAATTCACATATTAGCGTTCTTAGTTGTGAAGAATAAGTCCTCGTGGAGCACGGTAGCTCGCTCCCGCTTAGTCATTCTCTGCATAATAGGCCCAATAATTCAGGGAGAGAAGGTGGTTCGAATCCGCCCGAGGACGCGTCGTGAAACTGAATCCTTTTTCTCTTGACCGACACGTAATGCAACTCGCCACCTAGTTCGTAGTCATTAAACCAGTCAAGGATTCAGGGAGAGAAGGTGGCTCGAATCCGTCCGAGGACATCAATCTCTGCTGCTCAAGTTTTCTCCCAAGTTCGTCCTTTTACTTCATTCATCGAGGCTTGGGGGATAAGAAATAAGCCAGATATTGGAGTTGATAGGTAGAGGAATAAGTCCTTGCGGAGCACGGCAGCTCGCCCCCGCTTACTCATGCTTCACATAATAGGCCCAATAATTCAGGGAGAGCAGACGGTTCGAATCCGCCCGAGGACGTTGGAAATCGGGTGCATATTTTTTTCACGCACCGTCCTTCATGTTTTTGCCGCATGATTTGAATGCGCAGAGTAGGAAAGAACTCGTTGAATCCTGCAGCGTGCTTCCCAGTCAAAACATCACATGAACACATTGAGGGAGAGCAGGTGTGTAAAGCCATTCACAGAGAGGCGCTTTACCTTCAACCAAGGACAGTAGTCCGGGTCCGGTATCCATCCCAGTTATCAGAGTTCGCAGGTGAGAGGAACAAGTCCACGTAGAGCACGGATGCTCGCTCCCGTTCAATTTGATTCGTCAGACGATTCCAGGAAGAGAAGGCGGTTCGACTCCGCCCGGGGACATGTGTATGGAATACACTTCATTTTTTTTTCGGGCGCAGCGAGGAGTAATGCCCGCGATAAAGCGGACCAGCATGTCTGCGAACGATAGAACAATCAATACGGAGGACAAATAGGGATACGAATCGCACAGCGAAGGCAATGGTGCAGGCTCAGCGAGGCTAAATGCGAAATTCGCAATCCCACAGCGAGGCCAGTCGAGCGCAGTCCTATATACCATCAGGACGCAGTGCACGCCCGCACGCACACTTGCACTCGCAGTCCTATGAGTCGTCTCTGCGCGTTACAACCGCGGAAGTCCAGCGATGCAGCACCCCAGCGAGGGGGCACTACAGAAACCCAGCGATACGCAGCGCGCCCGGCGAGGAGCGATCAAGGAATCGCATAATGCGGAGCGGTGGCCATGATGCTCTACATACGCGAAACTGGGCCCGTCACAGCATACATACAGGAGAGTCCGCCGGATCCCTCGGTGGCCATGGTCGAGGAGACGTCCACGCATAAGGTCGAAGAGACCTACGTCCTCGCAGCACGAATGAAAAAAATGTCTTCCGCGCCAGGGGTAAGGATGGGTTGTAGGAGGTATAAACGCCTAGCCGCCGCCTGCCCAGGAAAGCCCGCGCACAAACGGGACAAAGAAGCCTGCGCGCAAGCTCCCGCGAAGGGGACGGAGAGCTCGCCCGCCAGAAAACCCGCGTACAAACGGCACAGAAAGTGGGCGCGCAAGCGGCCCAGGCACATGGACTGCGCATCGGGATGCGCAGGAACGAGGAGCGGGACGCGCAGGAACGGGATGCAGGTGCAGGTGCAGGCGCACGCACGTAAAGGCGCGGGCAGAGGGACGGCGCAGCAGCCGCACCCGGGGAGCGGGGCCGGCGGAGGAAGACGCATGTACGCACTTATGCACGACGAGGAGGGAGGGATGAGGCCCATCGATGTGCCACATTCTGGTATCACCACTTGTGGTTATAGGAATAAGCCCTCGTGGAGCACGGAAGCTCGCTCCTGCCCCATAAATGAGATCAAGGAATCGGTGGTTCGAGTCCACCCGAGGACATGTTGTCGACTGGTGAAATTGATTTTTTTCTTTACTTCGGCCGACACGTTCCTTTTTTGTTCTAGGATCGTTATGGCTATAAGAAAAAAATAACCCGGGTATTAGATGTTGTGGGTGTGAAGAATAAGTCCCCGTAGAGTATGGCAGCTCGCTCCCGCCTAATATCGGGTAAGTTCTGATTTCAGAAGAGGAGGCGGTTCGAACCCGCCCGGGGACATTCGAGGAGGGGAAATTCTTTTGCATGTAAACTCCAGTTTTTGCGCCCACCTCGGAGCATAATCCGGTACTAATCGCACAGCGAGGAGCGATAGCGCAGCACCGGGGAGCGGTCTCAGATCTCAGCGATGGAGCGATGTGAATCCAGGCGACGGAGCAGAGCAGCATTGCAGCGAAGGATGGGCACAAGATCCGGAAATCCTCGCCGGCTTCGCACAGTACGGATGCTAGTCGCGCAGCGTGTAGGCGCGAGGATAAATCACGCCCTCGGCCAGGACACAGTAATTCATATGAGCGATCCCGGCACTTTACGATCGTGGAAGCCCGACGATCTCGAGCGATGGACATTCTGAACCATGGAGTACTCCCAGCGCCGCGCAAGGCCGAAGCTTTCTTTGCCGTGCATGCTCGAAGACACCTATGTATCGCGCAGACGGCACGGAAAGTCCACCCACGTGAAGACGGCACAGAAAGTCCACAAAATACGAATACGAACTTGATAACCGGCGACAGAAAGGCCGAAAGCGTGCAGGAACGCACAGCAGAGGCCCGGGATGCAACGCAGGAATAGGAATGGGACGCGCACAGGAACGAGGAGCGGCATGCGCAGGAACGAGCCGCGGGATGCGCCGGAACCGCGAGGCACTCAAAGGCCCGTGCGCAACGCCCACATTATGAGGAGACACGGGTGCAGAACGGCCCATAGATTTAGACACAGAAAGAACGCACGCCACGCAAGGCCCACATTTGCGGGACCGCCCCATATGTGGACGTAGAAAGAGCGTAGGGCCGTGACGCACAAACAGCGCAAGACCGCGATGTGGCACGAGCATGGAGCAGGTGGCGTACACACTCGGGCAGAGGCGCACGCACCTACCCACAGCGGAGGGGAGCGAGAAGCGCGGTGGGCACAGGAAGACGCACGTCGGCACGCTGAAGAAACGTTCCTTGAAGTCGCCCACGGCGGGCACGGCGCGCGGCCCTTGGGGAGCTTGGTAGAAGGAGACCAGCGGAGAGAGGTGGCCCGAGGCGTCGCCGGACTGGGGGGGGTATCTTATCGTCAGTATGGTGAGTGGAAGTGCAAAAGGAAAGGGAAGTGGATTAGGGTCAGGAAGTGACGCGTGACAGGAGATCGGCATAAGTCCGATCTATTTTGGCGGATTTTGGCTTTGTATCTGGGCTTCTTTTATAGGTGTCCTTTTCGGACTTTAATCATGATTCTATTTCTGTGATGCAGATTTTAGTTTTGGGTTATGATCATTGTGGTCAATCTCAGAAGCATGTAATGACCCTCCAAATCGAAATGTGACACCTCCAAACCAAGTTATCTAAACAGAAACGAAAACCTCGAAGCGAAAATGAAAATCACGATCAAATCATGATCGCAAATCTCGTTTTCGTTTTTTGCGATCTTGTTTTCGAAGCGAATGATGGGATCAACGGCTGAGTGATGACCTTAGCTTGCCGCCGCACAGCTCTGTACCTAAGGCCAACCCGAGGAGACCAATCTGATAGGAACATAGAAGCTGATTTTTCAAAAAGTAATGTGTGAGTATAGCATTTGGCTTTCGGCCTGCAGAACATCCTCAACTACTTGAATGCATCCGTTGCCGTAGTTAAGCCCCAGACCATACACCTCACTTCCATCTCAACTACACTCATGCCGGCACAGTGATGGCCGTCATGAAAAACTGATACCAACACTGGCTGAACATCCGGAACCACAAACCAGAACACCACAGACAAAACTGAACAATGTAAGGCGAAATCCAAATGAGATGTGACAAGATTTGAACCCGGAAGTACACACTTTCGTTGTTGCTGGCAACATTTCGTTTTGATGGATCAAGTTCTGGTTCTTGTTGAGCAGGATTTGGTTACAGGAGGCGTAGAATCATGATTATGTCTGAGAAGAACATTTATCGAAAGAGGAGGTTTGGTGACGAAAATCACCTCATTTCTGGCAGTGATCATCGTGATTCATCGTGATCACTGGCCAAATCAGCGATCATCGCATGCGAAAACCAGAATTGTGCGGTACCAAAACCACTTTATTTCTGTCCAAAGAGGACACCCATATCTTTGGTTAGATCTTTGCTTCATTCATTGAGTTTTGTGGGTATCGGAATAAGTCCTTGTGGAGTAATGCAGCTCGCTCCCGCCTAATAACTTGATCACCGAAGATTAACAATCGAGGGAGAGAAGGTGGTTCGAGGACGTTCTCGAGTCAGGCGGAAATTTTTTAGGCGCGACGCCTTTTTTGTGCCATCAATTGAATCGGATTTTGTGAGGATGAAGGATAAGTCCTCGTGGAGCAACGCAGTTCGCTCCAACCTAATATTCGGACCTAAATCTTAAGGAGAGATGGCGGTTCGAATCCGCCCGAGGACGTGGCATATTATTGTCCTTCTTTTTAGCCGCAGGCTCGTTTTCAACCCGCATACTAATCAGAGTTCGCAGGCAGAATAAATCAGTCCTCGTGGAATATAGAAGCGAGCTTCTCCAGGCTTCTCCGCAATCAGCCGGGTGAATGGGAGTTTAGGTGGTTCGACTCCGCCCGAGGTCGTACTAATGTTGGTCTAACATTTTTGGCCACGGCGTCCTAGGGACACATGGAGTCCTATTACCTGTAACTCACGTAGATGTACATGTGAGCATAGAGAGGGAAGATAGTTCGCCAGGATGTACTTAAAGAGAAGTGGTATACACCTTTTTCGGTCTCCTATTTCTGCCTAATTCATTGGTGTTTGTGCGCATGAGAATCAGGTATGTACATCATTGTCCTTCCTTTTAGCTGTAGGCTCGTTCTTCAACTCGCATACTAATCAAAGTTGGCAGGTAGGCTAAATGAGTCCTCGTGGAGCACGGATGCTCTCTCCCGCCCAGTTGACTCGTAGAATGGGGACGCTCGCTCCCACACAATGTAGCTCCTCAGCGGTAGAATTTCAGGAAGAGAAGGCGGTTCGAATCCGCCCGAGGACATGTCGTGAGATTGAGTTGTTTTTTTCGCTTGAGCACGGGAGCTCACTCCCGCCTAATAGTCGAGTAAAGCGAGATTGAGGGAGAGGTGGTGGTTCGGCTCCACCCGAGGGCATATCATAGCGGGGCAGAATTTTTTACACGCACACGCTTCATTCATTAGTTGAACTTTGTGGGTACTGAAAGAAGTCCGCGTGGAGTATGGTCGCTCACTGCCGCACACTGACAGTAGGTCTCCAGGCTGTTGTTAATTCAGGGAGTTCGCAGGCAAGACAAACGAGTCCTCGTAGAGCATGGATGCTCGCTCCCGCACAATGGCTGGCGAATCGAATCCAGGGAGAGTCGGTGGTTCGACTCCGCCCGAGGACATAGTCATAAATTGCAAACTTTTTCCTTGGCAGCCACGTTCCTTTTTTCTTCTAGCATCGTTGGGGTGTAAGAAATCGCCCGGGTATTAGAGGTTGTGGATATGAAGAATAAGTCCTCGTAGAGCACGGCAGCTCGCTCCCACCCAATGCATTGCTGGTGAGGGATTTTAGGAGAGTCGGGGGGTTCGAATCCGCCCGAGGACATTAATTAGCGTTGTGCGGGCCCATTTTTTTTTGAAGATGAGATATCAGAATTTGTGAGTATAAAGAATAGAATAAGTCCTCGTGGAGTAACAACTCGCCACCTAGTTCGTAGTCGGTAAAACCAACCCAGAATACAGGAAATGAAGGTGACTCGAATCTACCCGAAGACATCAATCTCTGCTGCTCAAGTTTTCTCCCAAGTTCGTCCTTTTACTTCATTCACCGAAGCTTGGGGAATAAGAAATAACCAGGTATTGGAGTTTATAGGTAGAGGAATAAGTCCTCGTGGAGCACGGTAGCTCGCTCCCGTCCAGTCCACCAATGGTCATAATAATCCAGGGAGAGCATGCGGTTCGAATCCGCCCGAGGACGTTCGAAAAAAGGGTACAATTTTTTTTTCACGCACCCTCCTTCGTGTTTTTTCCGCATGTTTTGAATGCGCAGGGGTAGAACAAGGACTCGTGGAATCCTGGAGCGTACTTCCCATCCAAACATCACAGAAATGCATTGGGGTGTACAGCCATTCGCAGAGAGACGGCGATTTGCATTCACCCAAGGACAGTAGTCCGGATCCGGTATCCATCCCAGTTATCAGAGTTTGCAGGTGAGGAGAACAAGTCCTCGTAGAGCACGGACGCACGCTCCCGTCCAATTTGATTGATCAGACGATTCCAGGAAGAGAAGGAGGTTCGACTCCGCCCGGGGACATGAGTATAGACTTTCATTTTTTTTTTTCGGGCGCGGCGAGGAATAATGCCCGCGATGAAGCAGACCAGCATGTCTGCGAACGATGGAACAATCAATACGGAGGACAATAGGGATACGAATCGCACAGTGAAGCCAACCGCCCAAGCCCAACGAGGCCAAATGCGAAATCCCCAATCGCACAGCGAGGCCAGTCGAGCGCAGTCCTACATACCATCAGAACGCAGTGCATGCCTGCACACATACTCGCACTCGCAATCTCAGCGCGTTGCAATCACGGAAGGCTAGCGATGGGGCACGACAGAGGCCCAGCGATACGCAGCGCCCCGGCGAGGAGCGAGCATAACGAGGAGCGGTGGCCATTACGCCCGGCGTACGCGACGCTGGGCACGCGACACGACATACATACAGGAGGACCCGCCGGATCTCTCGGTCGCCATGGTCGAAGAGCCGCCCGCGCATAAGGTCGAAGAGACCTACGTCCTCGCAGCACGAATGAAAAAAACGTGCCCGCGGCGGGGGTAAGGATGAGTTCTAGGGTGGTATAAACAAACGCCCAGCCTGAGCCGCCTGCGCGAGAGACAAAGCCCGCGCACAAACGGGACAAAAAAGCCTGCGCACAAGCGCGCGCGAAGGGGACGGAGAGCCCGCCCGACAGAAAGCCCGTGCGCAAACGGCAAAGAAAGCGGGCGCGCAGGCAGCCCAGCAAGACTGTGCACGAAGTGCGCCGCGGGATGCCCAGGAACGAGGAACGGGACGCGCAAGAACGGGATGTCGGCGCAGGCGCACGCACGTAAATGCATGAGCAGAGGGACGGCGCAGCAGCCGCACTCGGGGAGCGGGATGGGCGTAGGAAGACGCATGTACGCACGCATGCAGGCACCACTGGTGGGACGAGCAGGGAGGGATGAAGTCCATCCATATATCACATCCAGGAATGTGGACACTCCACTCGCCGGGGCAACAAGATACTTACTCACATCGCACATCAAGACCACCGTATTCATTTTGGCATTCGCGTCGACATACACACGCCCTCCCTTCTTCATTCGACATACGCGGCGCCATACAGACACACTCAGTGCGGGTGGTTCTTGTGATGCTCTGCAGAAAGCCATCAACGGGCGTATTGGCATGCACGGAGGGAGGGGAAACGTACTGAGGTGCACTGCAGAAGAAGCGCTTGCACGGCGGGCACTGGCGCACGGCCCTTGGGGAGCTTGGAGCAGATGCCAAGGCGACCAGGGGCTGAGGGGGCCGAAGGCGCCCCGGACTGCGGGTGTATCGTGTATCGTCAGTATCGTGAGTTGCACTGTCGTATCGTTGGTGGAAGGAAAAGGACGCGGGTTAGGGTCAGGAAGTGACCGTGACTGTCGAATGGAATGATACAGTAGCTCAGGTATTAGAGTTGGTAGGTAAAAGAAACAAGTCCTCGTGGAGTAGTGCAGCTCACTCCCACCTGCTAATGGAGGCCAGAATAGCTGGATTTCAGGGATAGGAGGTGGTTCGAATCCGCCCGAGGACATCAGGGTCGAAGAAATCGTTTTGCTTCGGGGCTAACACGTTTTGCCTGATTCATTGACGTTTGCGAGATAAGAAACAAGTCAGGTATTGGGGCTTGTAGGTATAGAAATAAGTCCTCGTGGAGTAATGCAGCTCGCTCCCGCCTAATAACTGGTGATCACCGAAAATTAACAATTGAGGGGACAGAAGGTGGTTCGAATCCACCCGAGGACGTTCTCGAGTCAGGCTAAATTTTCTCAGGCACGGCGCCTTTTTGGTGCCATCCGTTGAAGCTTGCAGATCTGAGACATCACTCAGGTATCGGAGTTTGTGCGTATGAAGGATAATTCCTCGTGGAGTACTGAAGCTCGCTCCATCCTAATAATTGCGTTAACAACGGATCAGGGAGAGAAGGTGGTTCGACTCCGCCCAAGGACATGTTGAGAAATTGTACTTTTTTCCCCTTGGCCGACACGTTCCTGTTTTTACCTGATTCATTCACTGTTGTGGCCCTAGGCATAACAAATAACTCAGGTATCAGTGTTGTTAGTTGTGAAGAATAAGCCCTCGTGGAGCATGGATGCTCCCGCCCAGTGTGCCGACTGCGGATCATTCCAGGGAGAGGTGGTGGTTCGACTCCACCCGAGGACATATCGTCGCCGACTCGGGAAATTGTTTTTTTTTACCTTTACTTTGGCCATATTCCTGTTTTTGCCTCATTCATCGTCGTGGGTATAAGAAATAACTCGGGATTAGAGGTTATGGGTATAAGGAGTAAGTCCTCGTGGAGCAATGCAGCTCGCTCCAACCTAATAGGTGGGGGACCGCTTTGAAGGGAGAAGTGGCGGTTCGAATCCGCCCGAGGACATGTCGTGAAATTGAGTTTTTTTCTTTCCTTGGCCGACACATTCCTGTTTTTGCCTCATTCATTCATCGTTGTAGTCTAAGAAATAACTCAGATATCAGAGTTCGTAGCTGTGAAGAATAAGCCCTCGTAGAGCACGGAAGCTCGCTCCCGCCCAATGTCCATGTACACACGCAGAAGAAAGATAAGGGAGAGGCGGTGGTTCAACTCCACCCGAGGACATGGTGCCTCAAAAACTTCCTTTTTTCCCCTGGCCGGCACGTTCCTCCTTTGTGCTCTAGAGGTTTCGGGGATAACAAGTAACTCAGGTATCAGAGCTCCTGGGTAGCAAAAATGAGTCCTCGTAGTGCACGGCAGCGCGCTTCCGCCTAATAGGTAGTAAGCACGGATTTAGGCAAAGGTGGTGGTTCGACTCCGCCCGAGGACATGATTGTGGCAGTGACGTCTTTTTTGGACGTGATCCATCTTTGTTGCGTCTTTGCCTCATTCTCCCGAGTTTACGAGTATCGAAACAAGTCCCCGTAAAGCATGGCAGCTTGCTCCCACCCAATTATTCGCCCACGCTCCTATTAAGGGAGAGCAGGCGGTTCGAATCCGCCCGAGGACATACACATTAAATCTCTTTTTGCGGGATGTTCGGCGAAGAGCGATCGATATCCAAGATGGATGCTAGCGATCGATTAAGGCGAATCGCACAGCGGAGAGATACAGATACAGGTGCAATATGGATACGAATCGCACAGCGCGGAGTGAGCACCTCAGGAGACGCAGTCTGGATTCACACTAGGGTGCACCTACACACCCGAACTCGTACTTGCGAGCGATCCCAGCGGGAACGAGATGTGTGCAACACGCTTGGGCGGATGGACGAAGCAGGCACTGGGAGCGGGCCGGGCGGCAGTCGCCCGGACGCACGCACGCGTGCATGCCCGTAGGGACACGAGAGGTCTGCCCGTGAAGTAACAGAAAGACGTGGGCGAACGAGGATATACAATACAGCGCGCACACATTTATTTGATGTAAGGCACATAAGATGATGTGCAACACATTCCCAATCGGGCAATGTGTCTCACTTGCTCCCAGCGTCGGATCACCAATGGCACGTGTCGGCTCAACAAACCCGTCCCTCTTTTCCTCCTACCACCACCGCCCCCGCAGTTACACCGGTAGGCGTTGCAGACGGTACCAACCCGCACAACGCCACCCAATGCTGCGCCTGCCGACCTCGAAGTCTTGGACAGCTTGTCGGGGAGTATTCTGATAGAAATTACGTACGTCGCATCGCCCAATCCAGGGCCCACATTCTGGTGCTCAAAAATTGATTATAATCCCGCGGCCTTCCTCGATCCACTCCCCGGAATGTATGGATACGAACATGGCCCAAGGCAACGAGTGGGTCGTAGGAGCCGAGGGAGTTCCTACACGAACGGTGTGTTTTTATGCTGCATTCTGCTCGCCACCAGGGCAGGATACCAACTCATAGACGAGCAGTGGCAGCAGCAAAGCCGGAAACGCCCCTATAATCATGTTCGAACCTGGGCCGCCGGAAGTGTGCTAGAAACTCTTGTCGAGGCAATTCAACGGCACGAGACTTTTTTTTCTTCTATCTAATTGGTGTTCACATTCTTTTAATTGCTCACAAACACCATTCAGTGAGACGGCCCATCGGTTTCCTTATTACGTTCACCGCAGTACAATTAGATAGTATTTTGCTTCCCCAATAAATTCAATTGTCATGTTATTCAGAATTAGATGACGGGACTTGGGTCGTAAGGACTCGGACGGCCACATGTCCAGTCAAAACACAACACATCGAAGGTTGCCGAGATGTGTTGCACTTGATTCAATGTGTTGCATTTACTCAAATGTGCTTCACATACGAGACGAGAATGTGTTGCATTTGGGCCATGTGCCTCACATCAAATAAATGTGTGCGGGTCGTTTTGTCTATCCCGTGGGCGAACGATAGAAAAGACCGCCCGTGGGCAAACCGAGGACCGCACCACAATGAGAGCGCAGGAACGCGAGGCAGATGGACCGCGCCACGAAAAAGTCGCCCACGAGGAGAGGAGCGGGCGGCGTACACATACACATAGGCGGAAGCGCGCGCACGTGCGGACACATCGGGTAGAGGGAAGAAGCAGTAGCCGCAGCGGGGCGGGCGCAGGAAGATCCACGTACACATCGCGTCGCGTCGGAGGGGAGATGGGATGGGTAGGGCAAGAAGGCGTACGGATGCACATGGGGGCGAGCGGGCGGGGTGCACCAAGGCACTCACATCACGCACATTAAGACCATCGTATTCATTCTCGCATCGGGATATTCATTCTCGCATCGGGATATACACGCCCTTCTTCCCTTCTTTCTACGAATTCGCTCCATACGCGGACGGATACACTCAGTAATATTGCGGGTGGTTCTTGTGGTGCTCTATAGAAAGCCATCAGCGGGCACAGTAGGATGGAAAACAGAGGGGAGACGTACTCAGGTGTACTGCATCGCGCAAAAGACGCAAGGTAAGGAAAACGAAGCAAGGTACATAAGCGAAGGCGCGACAACGGAGAGAGATGAGAAACGCACGTTGATAGTCCATCGTATACCCCACAAGGAACAACTCTCCAATGAGCGCCGGCACAGGGGCCGCGCTCGCGTTCTTCCCACTGAAGCAACGCTGGCGTTCTTCTCGCTGACGAAGCGCTCCTTGAGACCGCACACGGCGGGCACGGGCGCGCGGCCCTTGAGGAGCTTGGAGTGGAAGGCGACCAGGGGCTGAGGGGGCCGGAGGCGTCGCCAGACTGTGGGTGTATTGTGAGTTGCAATGTCGTATCGTTGGTGAAAGGAAAAGGACGGGGGTTAGTGGGGGTCAGGAAATGACGCGTGACTGTGTCGAATGGAATGTAATACTACAGTAGCTCAGACAAGCTCAAGTATCAGAGTTGGCAGGTAGGAGAAACAAGTCCTCGTGGAGTAATGCAGCTCGCTCCAACTTAATAGATGAGGGGACAGCTTTTAGGGAGAGAAGGTGATTCGAGTCCACCCGAGGATATTACATTTCTTCTACTCAGGTTCCTCCTGTCATTTTGTGCCATCCGGTGAGGATTACGGGGTGTACAAGAAATGCCTCAAGTGTCGAAGTTGAAGTTCGCAGGTAGGATAAATGAGTCCTCGTTGAACAATGTACTGTGATTCCAAAAATGATACAGGGAGAGTCGTTGGTTCGAGTCCACCCGAGGACATGCGTGTGGCCGGAATTTTTTGCACGCACACTCATTCGTTGTATCTGCGCCTCGTTGGTTGGACCTTTATTTCAGTCGTCAGTTGAGCTTTGTGGGTATAGGAATAAGTCCTCGTGGAGTACGGCAGCTCACTCCTTCCCAATTGAAGCGATTCCATTGATGATAGAGGGAGAGGTGGTGGTTCGAATCCACCCGAAGACATTATGTTTTCATCTCTGATCTTTTTAGCTCCCTCTTTTCATTTTCGTCCGTTGAGGTTTCCGGCTATAATAACGCAGTGTTCGTAGCTGTGAAGGATAAGTCCTCGTGGAACATAGATGCTCGCTCCCACCCAATATGTATGCCACATGAGCATTTGAGGAAGAAAAGGCGCCCGAGGACGTTGTGCATCACTGTCCTTCTTTTTAGTCGCAAGGTCGTTCTCCAACTCACATACCAATCAGAATTCGCAGGTAGAATAAATGAGTCTTCGTGGAGCACGGAAGCTCGCTCCCGCCCAGTTTTCCAGTATACAAATGAATGTAGGGAGAGGTGGTGGTTCAATTCCACCCTAGGACATGGCCGAGTAAAAATCAAGTTTTCCTCGGCCGACACGTTCCTGTTTTTGCTTCATTAATTTCATCATTGTGGGTATAAGAAGTAACTCAGATATCAGAGTTCGTAGCTGTGAAGAATAAGACCTCGTAGAGCATTGCATCTCGCTCTCACCCAATACATTGCCGGTGGTGGAATTTAGGAAGAGTCGGTGGTTCGAATCCGCCCGGGGACATGATTCAGAGCCTTGTGCGGGCCCATTTTTTTCAAAAGCGAGATATCAGACTTTGTGAGTATAAAGAGTAAGTCCTCGTGGAGTAATGCAGCTCGCCACCTGGTTCATAGTCATTAAACCAGTTGAGAATTCAGGGAGAGAAGGTGGTTCGA